TACATGCTTCTGTCCTTTTGTTAAAATAATTGTAAACCTTAACAAAATCTGTCACAAGACAACCTCTATATTGTGATACATGCAGCTTGCCAAAGTCAATTTTTTTCCCCCCTCAACAGAAAAAAAACCCAATATTTACCTTTGAAATTCAGGGCTGGTTAGCAACAAGCCAAAGCAAGAGCTTTCATTGTCAGCCAATCAGTGGCTTCTCATTTCCTTTCCTCCTGTTTTTCCCTGCAGCCACAAGATATATTGACTTTCTGGAGGACCCGGTGTTCAGACTCTGAAATTGCACTCCTTATCTTTTAATCATTCGATAATACTGAAAGTAGACCGGGGAAGAAATCAACAGATCGTCCTACTCAGCTATCTTTCTTTCTTTCATCCTTGTCCTGGCTGGTTTTTAATTTCAGAACAACAAAGCTCCTTCTGGAAAATCTGAGAGAGTTGTTTTCCATCAGCTGAACTCTTGCTTCATTCTTAACCGGTTTCAGATGAAATGTGTCTTCTACAGACTTTTAAGGGAAACATGCCCTGCATTGTTCAATTGTCTTACCCTTGCTTTTATCTTTACGTTTAGCTTTGCTGGTCTCCAGTAATTTAATGTCCTAATTTTAGTATATAACTTTTTAGTAACATTAAAAATGGTCATATTAAGGATTAACTTTAAGCATGGATATAAGACTGGTCCCATGAATGACATAAAAATGTAATCCGAAATATTTCAACATTCCCCTTCTTATTGCCCAGTATCTTGGATTACTTAGTTAGCGAGCACTGCCGGTTGTGGTTGGCAGCCTGATTGGTGCCAAAACCAACCAATGGGGAATGGGGAAAGACAATTCCTTTCTGCAATATCTTTGTTTTGAAAGGAATTTCATGTGTAAATCCATGGAGGAGAGACAAACAAAAGAAATAGAGTTAGTATCTTTTTTTGGAATAATTCCTTTTCCCTTTTTTTTCATTTTCCTGCTGGAATATATTTAAATATGTGTTAACCATTCATCTGGGTTTGAATGAAACAACCACAAATTAATAATGTAAAACTTTGTATTTAAAAAGGAAAAGAGAATGTAAAAATCTTTTTGGCTTTAAATATTTGCACTGAATGGATTTCCTATAGAAAAGTATAAAAGAAATTATAGCTCTAAGAAGTCTACAAAATTAAGTTTGCTCTTAGTTTAGATGTAAGTAAGCTGTATAGTTCTAAGTTGTATAAATCACTTAAGTTACTGAGGTGCTTAGAAAGCATAAATCCAAAGAACAAAATAATAAAGTACACAATAACAGAATAAAAATTTTGTCATTGGGTACTTATTGTCATTCTATTTGTCAAATAGAATTTGTCTTTCATTTTCTAGCTACTGTAGTGTTTTTACCTATCCCTTCAAAGATAGCTGTTTTCCTAAAACAGATTTCCCTTGGTTTCATCTAATCTTAGATGTCCCTTCAAAATTCCAACTAGTAAATTGGAAGATAGAATGACCTTTGTTTCTTTTCTCAGTCTTGGTTCCAGATTCTGCCTTTAGTTTTTTTGTTTTTTTTTAAAAGTAAGCCACCTGCATATGTAAGAGACTTCTGGTGACCACTGTCCCTTCTTATGATCCATGTAGGAAAAAAATGAAACAAACGCTGGAAGGAATTAAGAAACACTGGAAGGCAATCCAGGTAATTAGGGTCTGCCATTATTACCTTACTCCTTCCTAAATGCTCTGTAAGGTGGTCCAGGATCTTTTCTGTCCCCCAAACACTGGGAGGAAGGGGATCTAGGAACCAGGTCTTCATGCTGTGGAAAGAGCTATGGACATGATCTTGGAAAAGCCATCCACTCATCCACAATAGCTGATGCAGAAACATGTATTAAGCCTGGACTGACTCCCCATGACTTCCTGAGAGAGGGAAGGGAAAATATATGCAGACTTTTAAGATTCTCTTGCTAATGCCTATCTCAATACAGTTTAGTTCTAGCCTTCTTATGGAATGAGTTTCTTGGTCTGGTCCACCTTGTATGGCTGAAAATCATATTACAAGTTTTTTTTTACTATGTTTCAAGAAAAGCTGAGGATTTTACCTTTGTTAGTGGGGAAGGCATCTAACCTTCAAGGCACTCCACTGTCTGTGGAACACTTGCTACAGCTTTATCGCAGCCCCAACATCAGATAGATTCACTAACAACTAACCTACAAAAGGCCATGGTGCAACTAACAGAGCATTTTGGCCAGAATTTACCTCAGCAAGCAGCAGCATATCAGCCTTTAGCCTATAGCCAAATTGTATCTCTATGTTGTTCTAATAGTTTGCTAGAGAAATTTGGAGGAAACCAGGAGCAATTTCTGACCTTTACAACTCAGTGTGAGTTTCTTATAGCCAATCAGCCAGATGAATTTCCAACAGATTGCACCAAGAACTTGGGCCCTGAGATGGCTGAAAGAAGGGACAGCCAAATACCCATTACTGATGTTAATGATCCAGTATTAGACAGTTATCAGGATTTAGAGCATCCTTTGAGTATTTGATGAGGAAGACCACTGTAACCATGAGATTCACAAACTCAAGCAAAGTTAGAATAGAATGCATCCCAGATCATTTGAAAGAGCTATTTCAACATTTCCTGGTAATAGTTAGCTGGTTGGAAGAGTTGAAGTATAAGAGAAATGGCAAAGGGCTTTTCTTTGGCAAAGGGTTTAAAGGGCTTTCTTCACCCTTCACTTCATAGCTTCATCAGAATCCAGCACCTCATTTTATACTTTTACTGTATAATTCTTAAAAATAAACCCAGCGCTTCCACAGCTAAAGATCCTGTTTTGGGCTTGACTTTGAAGTGCCATAACTATGGATCTACAGGTCACATTGGAGGAAGTTGATCAGAATGAATAAGGAACATGAACTCTTAACTGCATTTGACACCAGGTACAACAAGCAATAGTTTTGGCTTAGTTAATTGTGGAGAAGCTTCTCCAGATTCAAAATATTTTCTGACACTTTAGACAAATATGTAGAGTGTATTTGGATCACAAATTGATTTTATTTTCTCTGAGAATTCTTGTAAATGACTCATGTCAGAAACATTTTAAAACAGAATCTGTAAATGCAAAGTTTTTAATAAATTGGAGGAATGTGCCTTTGATCTACCCTAAATCCAAGGCTATTGGGGGCTAGACTATTCCACTTATAGGGTCTCTACTGAATTCATGCAAAAATATACTTCTGCTTTTAAAAGAACCATTGATTTATTAACATGAGGTATTATGACTTTTTATTCCGGAATTCTTGTAAACCATAGATAGCCATTTTGATTATACACTTAATCGAAACAAGACAGTTGTATTATAAAAAATAAATTCCAATATTGACAATAATTCAGGGAATTTTAGACACTGCTAATGCATTTTGATGAAAAACTGCAATTGGTATGTTTTAATTGAATATGCCTCCATTTCACAACTTCAGAAAATCCAAAATCTTTTTGCAATAACTCAAGTTGTATAAAAAAGTGATTACCAATAATATATTGAAACCTACTTAGATTGCACAGTAACAGAGTTCTGATTGTTCCAAATTTACGAAAGCTATTTTATTGAAATATCTTCTCTGATCAATGAACAAATTGATAGAAAACTCATTATTAACATATTGTGAGAGTACTAAATGTATGGTCCTAGAGCAGCATCCCCCCCAAAAAAACCCTCTTTAGGTCTTTCCAAAAATTGCTTCCAGATTCTAATTTTTAATGGACAAAACAGGAACAATTATTAAATATATCAAAAACAATTAACTGTTTAATTAATATTAATATAATAACATAATATTAACTCACATCCGCTTTTGCCTGGCCCTCTTCACTTTTGCAATGAAATTCCAGTCTCTCACTCAACCTGTAGTTCTTGGCCTAAATATGTTGCCTACCTTTTTTCTCCACTTAGGGATCATGGCCCAGATGAAATGGCTTAGGTAATGCTTTTCCCACATTATGAAGAACATGATGTTAACATAGTTAAAGAGCTTTCAGTGACTTTTTTTTTTAAAAAGCTTGAGCTGTACAAAATATTTTTGGCATTCAGTTATATTCCTTTAGGGCTCAGCTCTCAGCATCCTCACTCAGCTTGCAGTACACACCACCTGTGCGTTGGGAGGAAACCAAATAGAGGATATGTACCGCTTTAATGAAAGTGGTCCTTCTTCTGGCACACAATAACCCCCGTAGCATATTCTGCTTCTTTTCCAGATGGTCTTAGATCTGCAGTTTAGCACTAAATAGCCACATTTGGAACACACACAGATATAGTCTAATTGTCTCAAAATGGCATTTTTAAAAAGTGACTAAGGTGCTGAGATACAATGGGGAAATTTGAAAAGCCACAAGTAAAAGACATTTTTAATCTAAGAAGCCTCAGAGCAGACTGCAGAATGGAATGGGTGCCAAACTTAATCCGTTATTTTACTGTGGTCACAAACATTGCTGAATGGGCGCCAACTAAGCCAGCAGCAAAATTCCAGGAATAATGTGGCATCAAAGTCATTTTGTATTAGCAGCTTTCCATTATGCTCATCCAGCTTTGCATTAGCATGCGTTTCTTTCAGGGCTGCCAAAAACCTGTTAATGTGGCTGTGTTTTGCATTGGGCTAAATACTTGATATACAGCTCCATAGGAAAATATTATAATTTGTCTATTCCTTTCTACAAATAATTTTCAGTGTGTAATCCTCTGTAAACCAATAAAGTGTAGGTAATTACATTTAGTGATCTGCTTGGACATCAGGAACTCCATTCCATTTTTGTGGCATTTTTAGCAGCTCCATGCTTCAGAGGAAGGGGATATTAACTCCTAGAACTCAACCACAAAAGCCATACTAAAGTGGAATATGTTATAATCATTTTCAGCTTTATAAATTAACAATTTTGATTTTTGATCATTTATTTCAATAAATGGAACAATTAAATCACAATGTCAAGGTATAATGAATCCAACCAATTCAGCACTCTGAGACTTTCAACTTCCCCAAAGAACTGTTTTATTGAGTACATCATGTCAGCATGAATGAAAACGAAACCAGCTCTAAATATTTCCAGCGGTTTCAGTATAATTAAAGAATAAATAATTCCTTCCCTCATGGTCACAGGTCACATTGTCCAATTAGGTGTTCTGGCATCTCCTTGGCAACTCTCCTCGGTCTCTGGCCAGCACCTGTTGAGATGACCTTGGTTCCCAGGGGATGGTCTGTTGTTGTTGTCTGGGCTGACATTCCAGACTTCTCCCCTTCGACGCTGTGGCAATCTTAGAAAAAGAAAGATGGATGCAGCAGGCCTGAACCATTGAAGTTGATACAGTAAACTAAGTGTAATGGAAGGAAACCTGTATCTGGATCTCCCTCAAACATTTAGACATCAATATCTGTAGAGACTGAAGACTTTTTTTTTAATTCCTTGGTTTTGATAACGTTGGTTTTTATCCTTTTGGTTTTCATCGTTGGTTTACCAAGTATAGGCTTTCATGGTTTTCCTTTTCATGTAACATATCTCTATGTACAGTATTCCATTGCCATGAACCTGCCCCTTGAAATTACAGTTCAAATCAAAATATACATAAAAGGTTTCTGCCCTTCATGTTCATACTTAGAATGTGGTAAATAAACAAGGTGAACTTAAACTGTTAGCACAGGAAGGCAAATACAACTTAATAGGTATAACAGACTTGATGTGATGATTCTCGTGATTGGAATACAGCAACTGAAGAAGCAACCTGGAACAATAGAAAAGTAGAATTTGCATACTGTTAAAATATTTATATATCTTCTCAAAAATAAAAATGGTTTAAATAAAGGTAGCCCTGTCTTATGGCCACAACTAAGCTCAACATTTTTGTGGTTAAGTGAGACATTTATTAAGTGAATTTTGCCCCGTTTTGTAACCTTTCTTGCCATATTTGTTAAGTGAATCACTGAAGATGTTAAGTTGGTAACATGGTGGTTAAGCGAATCTGGCTTCCTCATTGACTTTGCTCGCCAGAAGGTTGCAGAAGGAGATCATATGACGCAGGGACCAGGGGTGAAATGCTCCTGGTTTGGATTGGATCGCCCGATCCGGTAGCGATGGAGGCGGGTGGTTCGGAGAACCGGTAGCAAAAATCCCTGCCCTCCCCATGCCCAGCTGAGCCGCACAATCATCAGAGTCTTTTTTTTTACTTTTAAAAGCATTTTTTCTACAACCTTTTTGGCCAAAAAAATGCTTTTAAAAGTAAAAAAAAAAAGCCTCTGATGATTGCGTGGCTCAGCTGGGATCGTTAAAAGCCTCTGATGAGGAGGCTTTTTAAAAAAGCCTCTGCCGATCAGGCAACTCAGCTTGGATCATCAGAGCCTTTTGAAAGCGTTTTTTTAAATCTCTTAACCGAAGAGGTTGTAGAAAAAATGGTTTTAAAAGTAAAAAAAAAAAATTGGCCACACCCACCCAGTCACATTACCCCCCCCCACCAAGCTACGCCCACAGAACCGGTAGTAACAAATTTTAGATTTCACCACTGCCAGGGATACTGCAACTGTCGTAATTATGAGCAGGTTGCCAAACATCCTAATTTTGATCATGGGACCATGGGGATACTGCAACGGTTGTAAGTGAGAAAAATGATCATAAATCACTTTTTTCAGTGCTGTCGTAACTTTAAATGGTGACTAAATGAACTATTGTAAGTTAAGGTCTACCTGTGTTAGGGAGCATTTAGATTAAATGCCAGCAGATGACCCGAGTGTTCCTTGGATGTTTTCAGCCTAATTAATGTCATATGGTGGTATTTGTAGGGATACAATTAGATGAGATTCCTATCCAATCTATTTTGAAATCTCTGAGAAAAGGTGGAATAAATGTCATAAAAAATAAACAAAGGAAGAACACAATAGATCAGAAGATATGATCAATGATTTGCCTACCACAAGAAAGCCAACAGACATGCTACAAGCCAGAACAGAGAAAGAAAACTTCCACTGATCCAATAGTGGGTTTCACTTACCTTTGCTACTGGTTCGGAACTATGAGCGTGGGCACATGCGTGCTCGCATGTGTGCACACAGTGCTTCTGTACATGTGCAGAACCTTCTGCGCATGCACAGAGCATCCATGATGACATCTGGGTGGGTGGGTGGAGCCCCCCGCCACTGCTGCTACCGGTTCGGCCAAACTGGGGTGAACCGGTAGAAGCGCACCACTGCACTGATTCTGTAAGGACTTCCTTAACTCTAGAATTCAGACATAGAGTTAAGAATAGAATTGTATACATACTTTAAACTTAAGTCATAATCTGCATGCATGTATCTATTTGGTTTGTCTGAGGCTGAAACTAGGAATTTGGAAAAAACGAGTAGAACATTAGCCCCGATAGCCTGCCTTATCAACAAAACTAGAAGAAGGAAGAAGAAATTGTTCAGAATGGGATGGAAGGCAATTAGCTAACTGTAAATTGTTTTTGCAAAGCTATATTTTATCAGAAGGTTGCACAAAAGAAAAAGGAAATACGGATGCTATTTCAGTCAAATTCTCTTAATTTGCCCACATGCTACATGACAGCATTCCTATTTATTTTGAATGAGTTTAAAGTATAAGAACCAGAACAATTGTACACTACATTGTGAAAGGAATTTGCTAATTGAACGTTTTAATATTATCTATTCCAAATTGTGGAAAACAGAATAAAATGAAAATTAATAGGATGGGAAGGGAGGGAGTCCTAAAAGAGTGAATGAAGTGTCATCAGGAATACACAGAGAGCGTCCAAGAACTGATAGGCACAGGGTAAGATCACATGGATTCCAGATTTTATTCAGAAACAAAGACAGAAATAAGTGAATGTAGACCATGTTTAATCAGAATATATGAGCAGTTTCAGTTTCAGCACTGCTAGTATTTATATTTTTAGTGAATAATTTTCTACTTAAAAGTAAATCTTTTTCTCTAGACCTTTCTTTGTTCTTAAAACCATGCTAAAGAAGCTACATAAAATAAGATATGCCTAAAATATGTTGTGTTCCTAGCATATGTCCCTAGATTCCTTGTTTTGGGAAATATTATACTTATTATTCTATGTATAAAGGACTTATTGAATAAATTGGTATGGTGCCATGCACTGTCAAACTGAAAAAAAAATGATATGTGACTCTCTGGTTAATTCTCTGTTAGGCAAATATTTATTCTTCTTTCTTCCTCAGTTCCTTGGTGGCTCAGCAGTTAAGACACTGGGCTTGTAGGCTGGACCCAAGTGCCATGTGACAGGGTGAGTTCCTATCCTTGCCCCAACTCCTCCAACCTAGCAGTTCTAAAGTATGCAAATGAGAGTAGATAAATAGGTACCACTTTACTGTGTAGGTAAACGTGCGCCATGACATCATGCTGGCCACATGACCATGGAAATGTCTTCAGACAGTGCTGGCTCAATGACCTTGAAACAATGACCTTGGAGATGAGCACTGCCCTGTATAGTCAGCAACGACTAGCAGAGTAAAATCTGCAGGGACTCCTTTGCCTTTTAAAAAACTTCTTCAGTCAGTCACACACTCGCATTCCAATCCCAATCCCAGATAAACAGGAATGGTTGAGGTAAGACCTGGTGACCTACCTTTCCTTTGCTAAGAAAATTTTATGGAAAGGCTGTCAAATTAATCAAATAAGGTACCCAATGGTAGAACCCTCAGGGTAGAAGGTACCCAATAAGCTACTTGGGGGAAAGCAAGGCTGTGCCGTGAGTAGTCAAGGCATTAATGAAGTGCCTGAGGCAAACCCAGCAGGCATCTCAGCTGCAGATGCTGACATTGGTGAAATCAAGGGACTGCGCTGCTTGAAGGCACATTGGATAGCAATGTGGAATGAGCCATGGTAAATTTCATATCATTAAACAGGAGATGCCAGGTTGAAAATTGACTTCCTTGACATCGATGAACTACATTGGATGGATAATAGTTAATTCTAATCTGAGGGATTCATTGTTCCTTGGGACATGACACCAGGAAAACAAATGGCGTGGCATTTATCAAAGCAAGAAAATTGAATATGCAAATAAAAGTTTCTCAATGGTTAATGATCGTATTATGATTATCCAAATCTGTGCCAAGCTCTTCAAGATCACAGTTGTCCAAGCCTATGCCCCAACAACTACCTGTAAAAGAAGAGAGACTGAAGGAGCCAAAATGTTTAACTGGGAAGAGAAAACTAGAAGAACTAAAATTCTTCTATTCAAGAATCAAAAAAGATGACACATACACTACAAGTTTACTTTTCTTCCAGAAGATAAGTCATGAAGTAATGGATTCAGCTAGGAAGGCTTAATGAAGAGTGAAGGATTTCCCTTCATTCAGTTTGTTCAAATAGGGGCTGGGCAGCCCTCTGCCTATTTAGAACAAATAGCTGGACTTTAAGTGGCCCCCTCCAGCAGTATAATCCTGAAATTTACTCCTATCGAATACAAATACAGTAGATTTGTTTTCAGTGTCTCTTGAGCATCTCACATTTTGAGAGGGATGATGCTTGTATGTGTAGTCATCTGGTACCTTAAACTGAGCTGTTGCTAAGGTTTCACTTCTTTCTGTTTTTAACTACAAGGATCAAAATCATTTCCCATATATCTAGGAAGATTATATCTGCTCCAAGATTGATATCAAGATCAACAGAAGTTTTATGTTAGCAATGCAAAAATCTTCAGAGTAGATCTGTGTTCATTTCTTAATACTAGATATTTCTTCAAGAACTTGTGTCAAATGTTCATAATCTTAATTATTATAATATTTTATTGCTTGCATTGTCTGAAAATCATTCTTAAAGTTCAGTACTTTTAGCTACTTTTATTTTTGAATATAATCCCACACTAAAGAGACTCATACCCTCACACTCATAATATTGGCTCAGCACATAGGCATTGGAGAGAAAGGAAAAAGAAAAAAAAAAGAAAACATTCTTTAAGTAGTTTTTCTTTTCAGTGTTGAGCTTTGTTAATGTTGCAGGCACTGTTAGAACAAGAAATCTGAAAGGTTTCCCAAGAGATATTCTGCACTCTGTGTGCCAGTTCTGATAACGTCAATATTATTGTATGGAATTAGTAAAAGATGATGAAAAGTGACTTGAACAAATGCCATATGCACACAACCACACTCATAACCACACACACACACACACACACACAGAGAGAGAGAGAGAGAGAGAGAGAGAGAGAGAGAGAGAGAGAGAGAGAGAGAGAAGGAGGGAGGGAGGGAGGGAGAGAGGGAGAGGGAGAGGATAGAACAATACACATGTTTTATCTAAATAAACTATCTTGCTATTGGGTTTATATGTTTGCGTTTCCAGTCAAATTTACCATTCATCTAATGAATGACTGAAAGTCTGCTAAAACATATGCAGCATACGCAATACAAAAAGACCTAAATCCATTTCTTATCTTGTAAGTAATGGTAAATCAAGGCACACCAGTGAATCTTGCTTCCTGTTTCTACACTTCCTATGTCTAAGTCTGATTTATAACTTTTCCTCTTTCCTGCACTGGCACAAATGTTCATATAGCATTTTAAAAACTTTCCTGCTTCTTCTTAGGAATAGATCAGTCCATTTCTAGTCTATCTGTAGCCATTTAAGATGCCTTCATTCCTAAACCAACTGTAACCAATTTTCACATGAATGAGAAATAATTTTTTTGATACTCATATATATTTAAATATACGTGGATCTAAGCATCTACTATCTCCACCACCACCCCCACTCCACCCCCCTCAATGTTTTATTGCATATTCTGGTAAAGATTGTGAGCCAAGAGCTGCACTGCAAATTTCTAAGAAGAAAATGGGAAATATAATTATGTTCCAATTCACACATTAGTCTACGAGAGGCAGATTATATTCATGTGCATCAAAATTCATGAAGATCAATTTGGCAGGCATCCCTTTCTCTCTCTGCGCTGTTTGGGAAAAAAGAAAAAGAAATAGCCTTACTTTGGCATGCCATTATAAATATTCCATACTGTGCTGACTTGAAAGTAGATGAACATTGTTTCTTCAGTCCAGGGTCTGAGATATAAGCAGGACATGAAAAGAATCTTTCAGAAAAGACTAATATTTGAGGCTAATTTGAGCAGAGAAATAATTTCACGTAGATGCAAAGATTTAGAATTGCTAACATTGGAAGCAATTATGAATGCTGGTACTGGTATAATTCCCCTCATCTCCCCTCCTTTTTCCAAAAGACTGTTATATTATAAATTTTTAATTTAACCAATATGCATGGCTGTTAGAAGCACTTACTTTGCATTTCAAGACAGAATATGACTATGGAATTATGGATTTGTCTAACTCCACATTTGTCCATAGCTAACAGCAAATTATCCAGGAAAATGAGTTGATAAGTATTATAATACCTACATAAATTTGGGTACTTTCATTGCTGATTTGCAGTAAACTGGTGAAGTGTGAGGGTTCAACAGTATGTTCTCTTGTATTATATTACCCTCCCTCAAAGCCTTTTATTATCTCTTTTAGCTGAGACAAAAGACAGATGTGCATTCCCTTTTGCCATCTGCTTTGTTGTAGCAACTTACAACGAGGAAGAAAAGTGGAACAGTTGTTTATACTGACCTCTGTCAGGCTCTTAGAATGTTTAGTTTAATTGAAAATCCTTGCAAAATTGATAGATGCATTCTGGGGACCTTTGCTGGTCTGCCTATCATTAAATATGGTTCCTTCTAAATTTGCCATTTTAGGAACAGACCCTACAATCATATATTTCCTCTTAGCACTAAGTTGCCTCTAAAGTTTAGAGATATGTAAATTTGACACCCACCCACCCACACATCGTTTTGGTTGATCCCAAGTTACATCTTGACCCCTAGTAGCTTTAACCATTTTTAATTAAGGTGAATGAGATGTTTGTCTGCAGTTTCATTCATAAATATATCAAAGGAAATAACCCAGCCCACATTCTTACCCAGCTATTTTTTTTGGATATCAACCAGGGGTGAAATCCAGCAGGTTCTGACAGATTCTGGAGAACCGGTAGCAGAAATTTTGAACAGTTCGGAGAACAGGTAGTGGAAATTTTGAGTAGTTTGGAGAACTGGCAAATACCACCTCTAGCTGGCCCCAGAGTGGGTTGGGAATGGAGATTTTGCAATATCCTTTCCCCAGGAGTGGAGAGGGATGGGTATTTTGCAATATCCTTCCTCTGGACTGGACTGGGAATGGAGATTTCGCAGTATTCTTCCCAGCCACACCCACCAAGCCACGCCCACCAAGCCACACCATACCCACCAAGCCACGTCCACAGAACCGGTAGTAAAAAAAATTGGATTTCACCACTAACATCAACCTATTTACACATGAATTCTTTCCCTAAATAGTTCTACAAAAAAAGTGCTTCTGTGGATTTTGTAACTATTGTTATTCAAAATGAGGGGGAAATGCTTTTGAAATTTCTTTTAATGTAGTTCAGAGATGTCCAGCCTCGGCACTTTAAAGACTTGTAGACTCCCAGAATTCCTCAGCCAGCCATGGGAGTTGAAGTCCATAAGTTGAAGTACACAAGTCTTAAAATTGCCAAGGTTGGACACTCCTAGTATAGAAATATGTGAAATTCTTCTAGGTAGGACTGAGTTTTTGCCTTTATCTTCCATATGAAGGTTCTAGTAACGTTGTCAGATCTCTTTTTTACAGTTCAATCATCTGTCCTGTCATCTTTAGCCTCTTTTGCTTCCCATGTGCCAATTAAAATCAAAAGAGATGATATCTGGGAGGAAGGCCTCCTTTTTAGAGGGAATGTGGATAATCTAAAAAACAACAAAACTCTCAATATTAATACACTTCGCTACCTCACAACAATAAAGACACTTAAACCACCCCAAAAGAAACTTGAAATAAATTCCAATGCATTCTAAGAAAGAGGAAGGAAAATACAAGCTTATCTCATAGGAGAAGATTTCAGCATAGGATTAATTTTGTTAAAATACCTGACCATCTGCCAACCCCATGCTGAAGTCAGATGGGTTCCTGAGATATTGGCCTCCAGATGAAATAAATCATAAACTTGGAAAATGTCAGGCTTGGAGAATGACCCACTACGTTGTTTTAGCTTTCCTACAGACTGCATTTGTTCTGTAAGCACTTGGAGCCTCCAAAGTCCTGCCAAGGACATTCAGTGTAGAATCATCTCAACAATGTAATTTCTGGTATGCAAAAGCTTCACAGAAATTTATGATATCCAATTTTAAAAGGAACTGTAGCTATTATTAATGTGATAGCGTTTCCAAGGATAAAATTCTCTTTAGAGAGTTTTAAAGGAAAGCACATTTGTAATTAATGGTTTGTTTGTACTACATTTTCCTGCTTTAAATATATTTCACCAAATATAACCTTGGTGAATAAACACCTTTTCTCAGCTTCTGTTTGGCTCTTCCTGAATAGAGAAAGTCCCAGCCATTAGATATAGGGTGCCTAAAAGCTTTCTGTTTTCTAAAGCCCTTAGAACCCCACACAATTGTATCCCACAAATTTGGCTACAGATTGCCAATTTGGAGCAATATAAATATTGTTGTTGAGGGACTTGAAAATTATGTTTAATATATGGTGAGTTTTATATTTGAGATAGTAGGAAAGAAAAAAAGATTAAAGACTGGCCTGGCTCTTCTATGTCATGTAAGCAGTGGTGGGATTCAGCTAGTTTGGGCCAGTTTGGGCGAACTGGTTGTTAAATTGCTGACTGGCCCCACCCCTTCCCGCCTCACCCGTTCCAGGAGTCCCCACGCACCCCATTTTGGCTCCCAGGTAAGTGCAGGGAGGCCTACTAGGCCCAAAACGGGGCACCGGGGGGTGCAACATGCCCCCCGCGGCCTGTTTTTTCTCCCTGGGGGTGCAGCAGGCCGAGGGCTACCTGTCATACCCCCTGGCCATACCCACCATGGCCACGCCCACCCAGCCAGTCATTAGGGCAGAGAACTGGTTGTTAAATTATTTGAATCCCACCACTGCATGTAAGAATACTGCTGCCATATTTTCCTCTTCCCTGCCCTGTATGATTTTAAATGGAAAAGGTAAATTGTTTTTCAGATATAGGCAGTGGTGGGATTCAGCCAGTTCGCACCACTTCGGGAGAACCGGTTGTTAACTTTCTGAGCAGTTTGGTGAACTGGTTGTTGGAAGAAATCATTAGGTCAGAGAACCGGTTGTTAAATTATTTGAATCCCACCACTGGATATAGGGTGGAGGGAGGATCAAAAGTTAAGATGTTTCCCCCTGTCCAATTAAAGTCCAGACCCATGCTTACATTTCTTATTCACCACCTGGTCCATCCCTATGATGCCCTTGTTGTTAATGACAAATTGCATTTAGTGACACATCAATTTAACAAGGTTGGAAGAAGAGGTGTATTTCTTTGGATATCAAAGCCTCCTCCAACACAATTATCCTTATTAGGTGGCTAAAAGCTGTTTTTTTTTTTTAAATAACTGTCTTAGAATTGTTTAAGCTATTGCAAATCAATTACAAAAAATTCCAGGTTTCAAACAGATTAACATTCCATTTATATCATAACTGTCTCCTAACATGGAATATGGAACCACATTGGGTTTTATCCTTATTTGGCATCTATGTATTCTTTGCCTGCATTTTATATGGAGGCAACATGTTATAAACCCATGTGAAAAATTTATTTGACTGATTCAGATAAACATACATTCAACATTTATTTCCATTTTCTGATGCTTCTACAATATAGCTCTTTTTCTTTTGCTGCTAGTTCAATAGTGTAAGAAATTCTAATTTTACTCTGTTGGTATATAAATGTGCCATTTCATAGAAGTTGCCATTTTTCTTTGTTGTAACTTCTTTTTCTCTGTTTTAGCCTGAGGCTCTGCTTTTCATTTGATCAGTACAGTTTATATCATATTCCAGGCACCATTTTTTTCCCAAGAGAAAAAAGGGATTTCAGATTTGCTATTCATGATTCCTAAGGCAAACTGAAAGGGCACCGACTGAATTAATGTTACCTTTACTGTTTTCAGGGCTTATAGGTTTTATTTCTATTAGCTTAGAGGTATTCATTCTATCTTAATATAGTCCTTGCTCTCTGATTGGCATTTTTTTCATATAAGAGTATAGCTTCCACGAAGCATAAAATTACTGAAGCTTGATTATTAAGTAACCTAAAAATAATTAGTTTAAATAGCTGACAAAGAGAACAATAACATATGCCAACTCTCCCTATAGTGGGTACAAATGCTTAGCTTAAGTGAAATAAGGGATCTGAGTTCTGTTTACCATGATATTCAATCATTATTTATGTAATAGCATAATTTATGCAAGCAGGTCTGTTTTAAGAGTGCCTCCTTCACAGAGGAGTTAGTAACAGAGAATTATTTAGAGGTATTATAAATAATTATACATCCATTCATGCATTTAACTTATTAAATTATTTATGTGAAGATTGATCGTAAGAATGATTGTTGAGTCTGATCTTTCCAGTCCATTTTCATACTATTTACATATGAGTATACTTGTTTTTCTGGTCCCTCATATGTGTGAGAGAACAACATATGATTTGTTGAAATAATCCCTTATGTTGCCTCATTCAGCTTTTAAAACTAAATAATTACTTTTATTAAGACTATACTAATCAGTTAGTAGGAATGTTTGGGGGAAAAATGGTGCCTGGAATATGATATAAACTGTACTGATCAAATGAAAAGCAGAGCCTCAGGCTAAAACAGAGAAAAAGAAGTTACAACAAAGAAAAATGGCAACTTCTATGAAATGGCACATTTATATACCATAAATGGTAGTCCCTATGCCTAAAGCTCTTGGTTTCCAGGCATGATCCCAGAGAAATGAGAAAAACTTATGCCAGGGACCATATCCAGTGACCATATCCAACAGAACTTAGGAAGCCGAGAGTTCAAAATTTCTTCTCCCTTCCCAGCAGATTCAAAGCAATTCAATTCAAAATCTCATGGAATTCAGTGGGTTTGATCCCAAGCTAAATATATGTATGGATAATGCCTAAAAATGCTGTCTTAGAAGCATACACTTGACTTCCCTTTGAAGTAGAAATGTGTAGAACTGCAGCAACTTCATGTGCTAATCATATAAATAATTTGAAGATAAAACAGCCTCCATAACAGAGAAATGACTAAATTGGAGGGCTATTCTGGCAAAGCAGAAGATGGAAGAGAGACAGGTGGCCTGAAGGTAAAAGGATCAGTGGTGAGATTCAGCTGGTTCTCTCCGGATCAGGCGAATTGGTAGCGGCGACTGTGGGAGGCTCCGCCCACCCACCTGGACTGTGCAAGCACTGCACATGCGCAGAAGGCTATGTGCATGCACTGAAGGCCATGCGCATGCACAGACGAGGCGCATGTGAGCAAAGCGAGAGTGCGTGCGTGCATGGTCACATTTCTGAACCGGTAGGAAAGGTAAGTGAATCCCACTGCTGGAAAGAATGGTAATGGTAGAAAATAGATTTGGATGTCCCTTGGAATTGCAGAATTGAAGTCTAAGAAAAAGAACCCTCATATTCATCTTACTTCGTTTTCTTGTTATAATATGTATGTGACAACATACACATGTTCATGGATTTCAAACAATAAATGCATATTTATATTTTTTTTCTGAACAATTCAGGCTTAATTCATTTGTAACTGAGAATTACTTATAGGGATTAATCCTCAAAGGTCAGAGTAACCTTACATATATTTCCAGATGATTTCCTATCCAAAACACTTAGTAGATCAAAATCTACTTAGTTAAAACAGGATAGTTTATCATATAACACTGCACCATGCCCTGAGATGCCAAAGTAGGCTTGTTAATCCTACTTAATCCCAAAAATCAATATTTTCATGAAGCTGTTTGTCAGAACAAATGACATCCCCAGTCTGAAATATGTACAATACACAGAAAGGTTTCACCTGTTTTATCGTTATTTTGTTATTTGTTCATCTTTTAATGAAGAATGAATCAAGAAATGTAAATTATTTTTTCATACAGTTTTAACATACTGTTGCCTGTGAAGCCTCTTTTGACCAGGCATTTATTTATATGTTTATTTAGTTATTTGACATCCTATTTGTTTTAGGAAGCTCTTGCTTTCTAAAGTCCTAAATAAAGGATCTTTCCTAATTTTATCTCAGTAACAGCAGTTCTGTGTAGTAATTTGAGCTGAGATAGAATGAGTTGACTTAAGGCAATTGTGAACCCCAAGGAACTGGGCAAACCAATACCCCCTTAATCATTACATTGTCATTATTTCCTAAATCCAGTGAATAACTTGAGAATCTACATAGATTGCACTCCTTAACACTTAGAAATTAGAAGAGTTGGATATGTACTACAGTACATGATTTTAGCCCAACAAGAAAATATTTACTAAGAATGTATTTGCAACATAGATCTCATCCTTGGATATCAAAGGTTTATCGTCTAATTCCATGTTATTATTACCCCATCAAAGATTAAAATGCCTTTGTGAGCCTGGCCTTCGCTGACAACATGGATTGCTAAAGTAATAAGGGCAACCTGTGGTTTTCTCCTAGGAGCTCCAGTGTGATAGAGTCAGCATCCGATTCCTTGCTGTTGGTCACTGGCGTTCTATTGAATATCAATTGACAAAGCTGCAAAAATGCTGACTGCTCTGCCTTTGACATTACAAAATGTAAAGCCCCACTTTGGGATGCATTTACAAACCTAGCAGAAAATGCTGGGGTAGCCAAAATATTGCTACATAATTGGATTCTTGTGGTGTTAAGGGACATTGCTTGCTACATCAAAGCAAGTAGCTCATAATAACAAGAAGTTTTATTTTTATACTGAAACCTTTCTCACTCCTATCTTAAAAGCACTGAAGATATTGCCTGCATCGTGTGCCTTAGTTTTTTTTTTTTTAGTACTGCCTTATTTAGATGGAGGACCTTTTATCTGAGTACTTCTTTACTCTTGACAGATCATCAGTTGTGATGGAGGTATCAATAATTTATCTGTATACATCTTTGTGTTGGGAAGAGACTAGTAACTGGAGCTGAAGTATATCTTGCATTACTTTATGTTTAAAAAAGCTTTTTTAGGTAATTCCTTCAAGGCAAGCTGGCTCAGAGCTGCTTTTCCCTTGAGACAAAGAGAGAGAGAGAGAGAGAGAGATTTCTCAAATTAGACCTTTGCACTATCCCTATCTATTTCACATAAACCCCCATCTTTACTTATTACTTTGCACTGCCAGTGAAGGAATGCATTCTTTTCTATCTCTCCATAGACTGATTAGCATTTGAATTGACACAGTCTTGTGGTTCAGTAGAGATGGTGGGAATTGAAATCCGATGTACCTGATAGGCACTAAAATATGGTAAAATGATTATTATTACCTCATTTGCCTTCAAAAGTATAATACTTTAAGTTTAAAATGAGTGGGCAACAAGAAAAGCACAAGTTATCAAGTCTATCTCTTTGGTCTTGATGTATCTTAGAATATGGTTCGGTAATGGGAGAATAGGGCTCATGTAAGAGGAAATAAAAATATTAATCAATAAAATAAATTTTGGTTAGTGGAAATTGCCAAACTAGATACCTTGTGGGTTGGGGGAAAAGAATGGATGCTCTGCATGTTTAAAAAAATGAAGGCAAGCTCAGTGTACTTTCACCAAGTCACTATCATTGTAATTTTGGAAGCATCATTCTTAAAGGCTTTTGAGTGTTTAATCTGTTCGCATAAACTTCTCACAGCTGCTTTCCATGTGTACATGTTGTAAACAAATAAACAGAACAGACACACTGGGGAAAAATATTCTTCAGCATTTCTTCTCCTAAAGCCATGTTATATGCATAAAATACCAATTTATTCTGGAGTCACAGAGACAGTATTTTAGCAGTAGCATAAGAAATAAATAGCAAAATGCATAATTGTTGATTCAGAAGATGCCCCAGAATAAGTATCACAGTTAACTCACTGAATCTATTTATTCTGAAGAGAACAACTGGGATTATATACTGTAGTGTAATTTACTCAGGCTATTAAGAACTTGCTTGCATATGGCATTAGCTACTGTAGCATTTATCATGTTTCATAGAATGTTTCTCTTTCTCCCTCACTTCAATTCCTAATTTTTTCATCAAATTTTGCTTGTATTTCTGTAATAAAATGATTATACCAGGTCATTAGTTTATCGCTTATCTTTTTAGTACTGTTGCAAGCTGATTTAATATTTAAACAATTAGAAAAAAGTAGGCCAATGAATTCTGTGATGAAATCTACCTTGTAATTTTTCTATTTTCTTGCCCTGTAAGAAGTGTTATGTTTTTATCTTGTTCTCAGACAGTTTCCTTAGTAGTATTTTTAAATTTACATTTTGATAGGAAAAAATCCCGTGTCACAAGGTTTTGAGATGAAAGTAGCCATTGCTTGTTGATTAGTAATGTGCACAACAA